ACGTCCTGCCATAATCATCTTGATGAATCAAACGTAACTAGTTATGCTAATTGTGTCATTAAGATAATTAAAGCATTAATCAACAAACACTGCTGTGTCGCCAAACATGCGTGTGGTATTAACATCGTTTCTGTGAGCATTACGGAATCAACCGTTTCCCTCATTAATTTGCAAATATATGGAAAAAGCGCTCCGATAGCTAAGTAGATCATCCATATGGAAAACATGGGGTGGAAGCAGCAACCGTCATTTAATGTTTTTAAGTGGGAGTTCACATTAAAACACATCTGTAGACAGACATGAAGCCCACTGTGGCAATACAACGCTGCACATTGAAGGAGGACATTAAAAGAACAAAATTTAAATTTACATGTTCTCTCGATTTACGACTGGATTGCAACCGAATATGAGACGCACTTCATTACGACCTCTGAATGCAGCATTCACGGTTTATAGGAACAAGCAAAACCAATCACAGCTGGACTATAAGCACACAAACGGTCTTTTCTCAGCCACTATCTGAATGCTTTGTGAATAGAGGTGTAATTGGCCTAACATCAACAACAAAGGCAGAGCGGTTCTTTTTCTTTTTTTGAACCCCTGCACTGGCCAACATTCTCTCTTGTTCTTCTCACAGGCCTCTCTGGTTTATTGTGTCATGGAAAGGTTATTATTGGGAGATAAAGAAACGCTGAAAATATGAACCTAAATGGCAGGACCGTTAAAATCCCTCCTTGCACATCGGAATCAGCTTTAATGGCAAAGTACGTCAACACATCCAAGGAATATAAACAGAAATCCACAACAGCTAAGAACGAGGATAACAAAGAGGTAAAGAATAGACCGCACTATTATGTATGTATGTGTGTGAATCTGACCATTTTCTCTAGATGCTGAGCACAAAAAGAGGAAAGAAATCCTTGTATCACAATGGCCAGCATTTTTCCACCGATTTCTATATTTATTGTTCCATAAATGTCCCTGATTATTCTGGGGAAACCCTGAGCATCCATCAGACCATCCTTAATATCTTCTCTGTCCCATATTCTGTCCATACTGTGGGCTTCCTCTCTAAAACACATCTCCTCTGGCTCTTCTGTCGCCTCCTCTCCCTCCTCTCCCTCCTCCCCTCCTCTGTTGTGTTCTCAGTCTGGCAGCTGTCTGGACCCACTTGGCCCGGGCTCATATCAGTTAGTTATGGGTCCTGGCGGGTCGGGCCCTCGCCGCTGAACACAGACTGACTGGCTGGCCGGCCTCATATCTTCACTCAGGACTCTGTGTTCCGTTCCCGCCTCTGCACGCTGCTGTGATGTCAGAGCTCAGTCAGACAGAGAAGAATGCGGCTAGGGAGCAAATATGAACTTGCACGCACACGCACAAAGATGCAGGTACATACACAAGCACTGAAAATGAAAAATACTAACAATAGTGATTTCAGGCCATGGTTCAAACGAAAGAAAAATAAGAAAATCCACCCGAATATTTTCAGATAGGTTTGTTAAAAGTCCTCCGTCCTAATTTTCTGTCCACGCTTACACTTGATATTGAAATGGTCCCTGAAACATAATAATTCAGCAGGTTTCAGCTTCACAAATCTGAGGATATGTTGCTTTTCTCTGCTTTGAATGAACGTAAATGGTGTTTCTATGGGTTCTGAGTGGTTGCTCCACACACTATTGGATGGATTTCCTTTAGGTTGACGTTTATAGTCTCTCGATAACTGTTGCATGGATTGTCAAGATATTTGGTACGCGCATTCATGTCACTCTCACGATGAAGCGTGATGACTTTGGTGATTCTCTGACTTTTCCTCTCGTGTCATCACCGGTTCCAAATGTTTCCAAAACCTAGCTTTATGACCAAACAGCTGCAGACGAATGACATTCACTTCAGCTTCGGTTATAATTTGTGTTTAATGCTTATCAGAAAATGTTAATTCTAAATCATTGCAACTCCGCATGATTGCATTATCATTGTGAGCATGTTAGCATGCTGACATTAGCATTTAGCTCAAAGCACTGCCGTGCCAAAGTGTAGCCTAACAAAGCCGCTAGCATGGCTGTAGACTAAAGTCAAGTTAATTATTTACATTTTAGAGACAAACCGATTGATTAGTTTGGATACAAAATAGTAACTGCCCTATGCTTCATACATTTTATCTCTTTATTTGGTTAATTGTTAATGCAACGACTCACAATTTGAAATCATGTTCAAGTATTGAAGTTATCTGAAGAGTGACCATCAGGCCTACAAAAGGCCCAGGTACCGAGCAACAGCTGGTAAGCCCCTCCCACCCCCTCCGGCCCGTTCTGAGGAGCCAGAGAGTCTGTTGGCTGTCGCTGCTCAATAAGGCTGATTTCAGCTGGTCAGGCTAAACAACACATTCCACAGGCACTGCCCGTGAGAGCCTCACACACACACACACACCCTGAAACAACACACGCATACACAAATGAGAGGGAGACGGTTGAGTGACGAGGCGCTGAGGGTCGTCCCCGGGGCATTGACAACCTTTTTCTAACCCTTTCTTTCAGCTGAGACCTAATTTACATGTCTACGTCTTTGCGTCGAGTGCCTTAAAATCCTTTATGTAAACAGTCTTTCTGTTGTGGTCTTGTGTCTACAACGTTCCCCTCACACAAAACAACTAAATTGTTTACTTAACAAACTGTCAGTTCCTCCCAACTAATGGATTTAAAAGGCACCACATTCGCGTGGTGTCCACACGAAGCTGGATGAAGAAGAAAATGTCCACACTAGTACTTTCAGGTTGTGCTTAAAAACGAAATGTCTCGCTCCTTGTCTTTTTATTGACACATAACAAAACTGGTCATTACAGCCATCATCTGATGAAGAGCCTTCTTGGCCTTTCTGCATAGTTTTGACTCTTTTATCAGACAACTGAAGGTTAAGTAATTTGGTCGAGACCCATAAATGTCCCCCCCATTGACAAATGTTACGTGTCCGTCCAAGTGAAGGCAGTTCATTTTCTAATTGAAATTGCCTTCTCTTCAGACTAAAATGTTGCTCTCGCCCAAAAACTGTCTCCAGAGTGTATAAATCTTAAAATGCTGACTTGGTAATTATATGTGTACTGGGGAAACTGCTTTTGCAGAACAATGACGTCAGCTCCCCAGTCATGGCTGGGGGCCATGTCGCAGAAGGACTTTTTTGTCACCTCTAACTTTCTTAGCGATTGATCATTTTAAGTGTCAATACAGCCGAGCACACGGTGTGATTTCATCACGGCAGCACAGCCGCTTGCTGGTTAACAGGTAGGAATTATGAGCAGAAACGCAAAAAGACGTAAACAACATTGTGAATTTGGCTTTGTCTTTCTGTGTGAGCCCCTATTTTAATTGTTGATGTATGATACAGCACAAAAACAGATTTTTTAAAAATGTAAAAACCTGATTTAGACGTCATCGTATGCCACTGCATGGTACGCCTCTACTCAACTCGCTCTCTTTTGGTTTTCCATTTCAAATCAAGACAAGAGAAAAAACAACTGATGCTAAATGTGAGCGAGAGTCGAGCAGAGCGGTGTAAACACGGCATCAGTTAATTAAAAAGATCAACACCATTTGCGTTTATAAAGCATTCCTTAAAATGCACTGAGCTGCTATTACATGTGAAAGTGACCACATTATAGAATAACTTCACGAATGAACTACAAACAACTGAATAACGTGCTCAGACTCAATTTGAGATGAAGTAACATCCTCTCTTCTGTTTCTTGTCAGCCCTCTCCATGCGCACACACACACACACACACACACACACACACACCTGATTGAGACACCAATAGTCATTGTAAGTGCCTTTACAGAGTAATTACCAGTTTATCGATGATTCCACACAAGATGAATCCAATATATAGATTTTCTGCCTTTGGAGCTGTACAGCGCAATGAGCTCATAAGATGAGAGGAAGCGAGAGGCGGAGAGACAGCTGTTTGTTTGAGCGATGGTACCATAAAGCAGGGGGCCTTCTCTCCGAGGACACTTTGCCCAGATATACACTTCGCTTCATGTCACGCTGTGGAGCTGGAGTCAATGTGAGAGTCACCAACACAGAAACAAAGACACACACAGTTACAACCCAGACACACACACACACAGCTGACTGCATGAGTGTGTGCTACAGGTGCAGCCCCCTGAAGGACATGGCAGGGTTATCCACATGGCTCCATGCGGAATAACACGGCGCTTCGGTCGATCGTTACATTAAGGCGCCGAGAATGAGAGCGGTGCCGGGAGAGACGGCACACGGTCTCGTGGCCATGCGCCATCCCTCTTGCACAACGGCTAGCGAGACAAATGCCTTGCAGCCAGCCGCCGAGTACAGAACATGAAACACATGATGAAACACGCAATTAAGAGTTTCTGTGCTGGTGAGGAGACCGCCGGTTACATATTTCCTCACTGATTAATGGAGGAGCGCTGGTAAGGGCGGGGGTTAGCGAACCCGCCAGGAGTGTAGGGAGTGTTGGGTAACGAGGCGCGGTGGCAGATTTATATTCCCCCCTCCCCCCCTTCCTCCCCCAATCTTATGTGCACATGACAAAGTGCCCCCTAGCCCCCCATCCCATCTCCTTGAAACGCCATTACATGTTCGCATGCAGCAGGCCAGCGAAGATGGAATGAAGATGGGCATTAATGCTAATGAGAATTGGGATTTAGCCTTTTGTCTCATGTCCCAATGGCTCTTTCCATCTTTCCTTCGCCTCAGTCCATATACCTATCCCATACCTCTCCCTCTCTCACCTGTCCAGACAAACTAATTCTCCTTTCCCTCACCTCCCCATGCACCAAATCAACCATATCTGTCAGCCCGTGACAACACATTGCACCCTCTACACATGCACCTTGATGACCAATATGTCCCACTTCTTTTTTTTCTTCAGCCACTCTCATATTTCATTGTTCCTCGCCCATTACATCCAACCCCCTGCTGTGTATCCGTGTGTGTGTGTGTGTGTGTGTGTGTGTGAGATTTACCCTCAGTCTGTCTGTGGGCAGGGCCTGGGCTCCTTTCATGATGACTTCCTGAACCCTCTCGACTGACAGGTCACTTCCAGCCTGCTCCAGACGCTGACTGAAGAAGCCGATCACCTACAAGGTCACACGGGAGGAAAGGGCCAATCACAATACAGAAACTAAATTTGCCAAAAAACAACAACATTTGGTCCAGAGCCTGACGGGCTTCCTGTCTAAATCCTGCCAATCAGCACCTCTGAAGCTCCGTAATCAACTTCTCATGTTTGTTTAACCTAAACCTAGAAATGTAAACCAACTTAAACCACACTTCGGTTTATCAGGAAATACTGGGCTCATGGATAAACTGGTATTAATGTGTATGTATTGGCACATATGTCAAAAAAAGATATTAAAGAACAGTAAATTACAGTAACTCGGAAAACACTTGCTTTTGTCTACAGGGACGCCTAAAATCAAAACGAAACTAAAGTACCTCATTTATTGAACAAAGATTGATGATGTCAAATGCGGATATGATTCCAGCCAACAAAATATTCTACTTTAATCCATATTTATTGGTATTTAACCTTTTAAAGATAACATTTTCACAGCCGTCATAAAACTGTTTGTGTGGCACACACTGACGAGTTATATTCATGAAAGAAATCACTTCATTCAAATTGAGGATTTGTTGGTTTTTTTGGACGATGAAGTCATAAAATATGATTACAGACGTTTGAAGCTTCATTCAAAAACTTCAATAGAAGCTTGAATGAAACAAGTGACAGTTGGTACAGCCCAAAAGAAAACAACACAGGATCTCATGGCCTCTTGATCTCTGAAGGTTCGATATGAACTCTCAGTTCCATCATGAAGCTCTTTGACTCCTCTAATCCCGCTGTTTGGAGCTGTCACATTGATGCTGCAGCAGCCACACCCTACATGATGACACCGGGTGCAATATGGAGATCCAAGTTAGAACAAAGTGGCCTCGTGCTACATGTCGCGGGCCTCGCTCTGTAAACAGCCACGCTAGTGAATGTTCTACCGCGGTATGTTGTTAACGTTACATGTCGACTAAAGATTTGAGACGACGTACATTTAGCTGCTTTTTGCATCAACAGCCATCAAGACGTATCCGCGCGTCGCCACTAAGCTGTGTCGATACTACGCGGAGATAGAGAGCTGCGTATAGTATTATTTTTATAGCAATTATATGACAATACTGATTAAGAATCATTGCAAATAAGTGGATAAAGGTTGAAGCAATGGCTGTAACACTGCATGACGTCTGCTTTTAGAGAGGGAAATACATCTAAACCAAGTTCAACATGCTACGAACACATGCTCGGCTAATATGCCTGTAGGCTCCAAGCTAAGAAAGCACATACATACTGGCAATATTTCACATTACACATTCACTATAGGGCTTGAGCGCGTTTCATCCCACTTAAAATGAGCACTTCACTGGAGCTCAAATTATCCGATGCCTTCTGGGTTTAAGCCCAAAGAAGACATCAAGGAAACAGTATTTTGTGTTTCCACTGCTGTGCTAGCTTCTTCCCCCAGAGAAATGTTGGATATTTGGTCATTGAAAAAAACTCTAGGTATTACTGATTCTTTTTAATGCTCTTATTTGTCTAACCAATGGTGAAAAACACATCTACAGGCAATTTAAACACACCAGAGCACTGTGCGTGTGTGTGTGTGTGTGTGTCTCTCTCTATCTAATACTAATCTCGTCATTAGCTCTGAAGGCCTCCCACATGGGGTTAATTTGGAGGAGAAAAAGAAAAAAAAAAAAGCAGCCCCTCATCCTGAATCTCATGCTCACACAAACGGATTTGCAAGCACAGGGAAGGCTTTGCAGAATTGCCTTAGGGATACTGGCTTAACTGAGGGATTCTAGATAGCATGCTTCCCTCATACTCATGGATAACACCAAAACCCATGGCTATGGATGCAGCATCCCCCATCCCCCCCCCACACACACATACATACATGCTCATACGCAGCAAAGCTTCCTCTCCTCCTCTATATGACAAATAGAGTTGTGAATGACAGCTTTCTCTCATGCCGTTTCTTCCTCCCCCAACACTCGATGAATATTTGACACACAGCCTCTCGACACAAGGAGACTGATTAATTCATCAATACAGCTTAAGCTCACAGGGCTCAGCGTGACGTACAGTCCGACTGCATACCGCGTTAACGATGCAGTTCGCATATGTTCCAGCGCTGCCTGGCTTTTTTTTTTAAACTTTCCCTGCAGACTGAGAGGACATTCAGGGGAAATCTGTACAACCTTGATCTGTGGAATAATTACCACAGCTCAGCTATGAGGTAAAGCGCTCCCTGGCTCATGCTTCTTACTTCTGATATTCGAGTGAGGGGAAGAAAAAACTAAAAACACTTTGACTGACCGTGTCCAGGTTCTGCATGATGTCCTGGAAGGACGGGTGCGTCCTGAACTGCTCAAAGAGCTCCCTCTTGTAGAGCAGCGCGTACACCAGGTTCGGGTTGTGGTGTAGGGAGCTGCACAAGCAAGAGTTGATGATTTCCAGCATCATGCGGATCACCTCCTCGATCACATTCAGGTCCTGGGCCTGGGGGTAGAGGGAGGATGTAAAGGTTAATTGGTTTCCCACTACACTGGTTCCACTTGAAATGGTGTTTTTTAAATGATTGCTTCCTGATTGATCCGCAGGGGGGGAAAACAGAGAAGTGGAAGAAATAGCAGAAGGAGGGAGAGAAGGATGAAAGTTGACAGCCCAGGTCTTAGTTCGGGACAGATAGGTGACATTCAAAGCCACAGATCACGTCATGTCACAGTAGGTTTCCTCTGGAGGCAAAAACAACTGTCGGGGAGTGACAGGTGACAGTATGGGACGAGAAGGGTGTGGGAACGAGAGGAAGACGAAGAAGGTTGAGTGGCTGTCATGATGCGTTATTTACAAAGTTCTTCACACAAGGTAGGCTTGTCACGAATCAAAATGCGAAGCAATTACATTCAGAAACACATATCAGGCAGAGAAAACTACACATCACAAAGATTTAGAAGGCAGGAACTTCAATGCACGAGTGTGTTGTAGTTACGAGAGCTCAAATCTCAAAGGTACATCAAAAGGAATAGTTTTGGGAAATACACCTTTATGTTTCTGAGTTAAATGAGAGAATCAATAGCACTCTCATGTCTGTCGGGTATATATGAAAATACCATCAGCGGCCAGTTAGCTTAGCTTAGCACAAAGACTGAAAACAGGTAGAAACGGCTAACCAGGCTCTGTCCAAAGGTATTACAATCCACCTCCCATCTCGCCACTGAGGGACTACAAATAAAATAAATGCTGAGTCGCAAACAGAACTTAAGATCTTGTAACAAGAAGGGTGTTTGGGATCGTGTGTGTCCATTTGTTCCTGCTTTGAAACCTTTAACCTTTGGAGAGTACCTATAAAGGTAGCTCCTAAAATAGTTAACTTAGAGCCTTATATCACTACTCTAAGAAGTTTTGGTAGTTCCAAGGAAATCAGCCGTCTTATTAACGTAGAAATCTAAGCATCACGGTAACATCTAATCAGACCATCTGCTCTACTACCTGCGGTTTAAGAGCAGAGATTCTATCATGCATTGTGTTCTCACAATAATGTGCCTACAGAGACAGACGGACAGATAGACAGACGCCACGCCGTGATGAGATAACGTCCCACGTGGCTTTGTCCATTGTGGCAAGAAAGGAAATGGCAGAGAGACCGTGGGAAAATGAATAATCTTTAAAAAGAGATTAAAAAAACAACAACAACGCAGCAATGAATCGCAGAATACAGTTCAAGCGCGGATGTATGATTTCCCGCAGTGTGACAACTGCGGGCGCTCTGCAAAATCTATCACGTACTGATAGTATATTATAGATAACATCCTGAGGTGATGCAGCCAGTTTCCAAACCAATCTAAAAATACAAAAGAATGAATAGTAACCTGCTTCATCTCTGTAAATACAAACACTGTTTGCAAGATGGACTTGCTGTTTTTCATTTGCCAAAAAGCAAAAACAAATATTATGACTTCCTCACAAGAAGTAATAGCAAGTGTATTTGCCCTGAGATGTATGTACTCTGTAAACAGCAACACAAAAATGCAGACTAAGAGAGTGCAGGAGTCAAGAACATCCAAGCTTAGCTTAATGAGATGGTGCACTAATGAAATAAGTCCGATGGCAGAAGGACCAACACTGTAACACACATGGCAAAGATTCCCTAACCCTGATCGTGGGTCTGCATGATTAGCAAGAATAGTCCCCGTCACACTGAGAAGCTGTAAGCTTTTGAGTTAATCTGATAATATATAGACCAAATCCCCGCTTTCTACACAAACAAACATTTTCTTCATTAGAATGCCTTAGACTACTTCTTACTGAGCGGAACACTTATATAACTATATTATTACCAATATTGATATATGTGTAATAACCTAATATTGGTCTATTTATCGTATTCATACTGTCTAAATAACCTCAATACGAGTACTTCAAACTCAAGTCACTGAACCAGTTGTGGACATCAAAAATGTCTTGGATGCAAGAATGCACTTTGTCCATTTTAACCTTAAAATACAAAGAAGACCTTTTGTTAGCTCCGTCTATATCTGTCTATGTTTGTGATGCATTATAAACAAACTTAGAATGTGTTATAATCGGCTTATAGCACTGTATAATTATAGTTAGAACCACTCAAACATAGTAATGATGCTTTATAACAATTATAATAACATTAAAAAGCATTTTATAATGACTTAAACGGTCAAGTATCATAATACTTGGTCACTCACTAACAGGATCAGAGTGTATTATATTTGTTATTCTTGTAATATGTTGTTAATTACTTTTAATCACAGATAAGGCATTGAAGTGTGATTATAAGTGGTCATTGTTTTCTTTAAGTAAGGTGAAAACAAATATTCTATCTATGCAAGAACAATAAACAAAACATTGTAAAATTCCTCAAGTAAGGCCGTTTTCATACGAGGAAAAAGCCGGCGCTACTAATAACATGATCATGCTCTGTTCCATTCAAGTGTCTTGCGTTTGCATTGATGGCAACGTTGCACTAGAAGTCCACTCATAACTGGACATGATGTTTTCTACACGACTATGTAAAACAAATGTATTAAAAAGATTTGTCTACATGACACAGGTAACACCTGTCTGTACGGGGACAGTTCAGCACAGATGCAGTGAGTGGGCATCGACTTACATACAGACCACTGCTCTTCAGCTACTACAAACAGACGGTGTACTATCGATCATGATGTGAAAGTAGCTCAAAACGAGGCGGTGACCCTTAAAACTAGATTAAAAAAAACATAACTACATGACTGAATCATTGTATTAATTGCCAGGATTGTGAAATAAATAAATAACTAATTGACCAGTTCAGCCAATTGCTCCCCAAACCTGAATTCTCATCTTTGCTTTACAGGAAGCCTCGCCTTAGACAGTACTCATCAGCAGCTTCCTCTGGGGTTACATCCTGCCTCATTTCAGCCTTGAAATGAGAGAAGTGTATTCCCCTGGAAGTATTGCAATTCCTGTAAAATACATTAGAATGAGGTGCTGAGCAAGCCAGTTTAATCTTTAATGTGTATATGCATGAATCAGTAAAGCTTTTTGGTTAAAAAAAAGAAGAAGCTTGTTTCCTCTGCGCTATGAGACACATTTACAACCGTAGAAAGTGTAATAAAGACCATTCATAAAATGGATAAACACTTTTATAGAAAACAATATGAGCTGCAAGTCGTCCAAAGTGAGACTTAAGGATTGTTTGTTCTGATGACGACCTGTGTTGACCAATAATTTGCTAATACCAGCGAAGACTAGATTCGAAACAGCAGCTCGGTGGGACTGCAACGGCAAGCTGATTGGAAGCAGAGATTCCGCCTCCAATCTGGGCTAACCATCCGTAACAACTGCCCGTGGTAGCATTTTATATTCAATCTTCGGTGCCCTGCTTCGGAAACAAGTCCCTATCTTATAAATAACTTTGCTTGCTGTGTGGCGTTCGTTTTTATTTATAATAAGCATAAACACACAATATCCCCCCTGAAAGTAGCCAGGGGGATTAGAATGATTGTAAAAAAAACTGTATGCAGTTGTGCGTTGACTATGAATCAGGCTCGCCACACAGATGCAATAATGCACTGCATTGAATATCCACAGGCCGGTGCACGGCGGTGTGGCGCTTTAACAGGCAGGCCTGAAGAGGCAAGCGGAAGGCAGAAGAGCCGGCTATAATGAGGAGTGATTGCGTGGCTCTCTGGGCTCGACTCCACTGCCTAGCTAGACCTGCTCCACTCCGTTCTGCTGTGGCAGGCTACATGAGTGGGCATCGACTTACATACAGACCACTGCTCTTCAGCTAATTAGACAGAACGCAGGGACAGATATATGGAAGACAAGTGAGTGGGAGGAAGAGAAGGAAGACGGCGACAAAAATGGAAACAGAAGAAGAGAGTCGGGGTGGGTGGGTGGGTGGAGGGGGTTGATGGAGAAAGTGAGCGCAATGAAGAGACGACAAAAGGAGGCGAGGAAGGCAGAGTGAGAGTGAGGGTTGCCTCATGTGTTTGTTCTCTGGCTCGGCAACCGACTTAATGAGATTAGCCTGGTAGGGGAAAAAAATGCCACACTGGGGAATTCAGGTCAAATGAAAATAGGCTAGCTAGACGTCTGCCTGGCCCTGCGTGTATATTTGTCAAGAGGATGAGATTAGGAGGTCCGTGGTCTACTTGAAACCCAGACAGGATTTAAATATATTGGCTCCTCCTCCTCCTCCTCTTCCACTCCCCACTTTGTTCTCTTACACTGGTTTTTCCTCCCAAAAGAGTATCAACTAGATAGCCCAAAAACACCTGACATGTTGTGTGACTGCATGAAACCATTGCAGCCTCTCTTTCCCAATCTTTGTCATGCTCCTTCTCCTCCAGTCATGTGCTATTTTCCGGCCTGCTGCATTGTCATTTAGTCACCGCCACTCACAGGAAAACACAGCCCTCAGACATGAGCCATGTCATTAGTCTCAATGATCCTGCCCCCATTTTACTTGTTCCACCATTTACACAAACCTCCCTTGAAGGCTGTGAGGGTGCGAATGCGCCTATGTGAGAGAGTGTGTGTGTGTGTGTGTGTGTGTGTCTTCTGTCTGTCTGATTCTGCTGCTAATACTTCAACATGCTGAGCACAAATGTGTTATGTCTGCAGGTATGTTTGACCTTTGCTTTCTGTCTGACAAGGAAAATGATAGAGTTTGCCGATGCAATCAGTGACTGGGAAGGACATTGCCGGCACTACACTATCTGTGTGTGTGTGTGTGTAGCCATTCTATCATACCCATGCGTGTTTTTATGCATGTTTGTGCGTGTGTGTACAGGGTGTTTAGAGACGCAGACATGTAAATCCCTGTAAAGTAGGGGCTGGCATCATTAAACCAATAGCTTAGTGATTCCCTGGCTGGCCCCGCTGCTCACTGTAGGCTGTTGCAGGGCAGACAAACCAGACGTATTAAGAAAGAGCACTGACAAAGACAAGGGCATGGAGATAAACACAGACTGACAAAC